GCAAACTTTCATGCAAAATTATCGGTAATTTTGAAGCACTTGTGCAATTACCCCCGATAACTGTGCGTCTGACGAAAAATCTTGCCGAGACCCAAAGTTTGATAAATTAAATGGGCTCCTAACTGAACACATTTTTTCGCCGATTTGAAACCGAAAAACTGCCTAAACACCGCTGGAAGATAAACCTGGATACCTGGATATGGTTCCGGACAGCAAGGATAATACTTCTCATGTCTTTCCGCAGGTACGGCCAGAATGTCCCATTCAACACTCGGGTAATATTCCCTCAAGTCTATTCCTAAAGCCACGATGTCTTCTCCGGGTTTTTGATTAATGTGCTGAAGATCGATCTGAGAAAACCGAGATTTTTCCAAGTAAAACTCCTCTAGCATCTATTTGGAGAATTCGGCAGAAATACCTGGCTTCCATACGTCCAGCTTCCAAACTTCATGAAACACGTTTGCTGGTCAAAGGGAAAATATCGCACGTCGATTTCGCAGGAAGATTTGAAAATTGCTGGCGGCGTCCATTGGATCTTTCCATCGTATTTCAGAACCGCCTTAGTCATGGTGGTTATCACATATTCCCCATCAGCACTAAAATTTCCATTAGATCGCATGTTGCTGGGCAAACTGGCAACTTTCCTCACTTGTTGTACAAAAGAATATCCGGCAGCCAAATATGTTCGGAGGGGACATACAGCTCTTTAACACCGCCATACTCCAGAGGGTCCCACATAAATTTATAATCGTGCCATTCCTGCAACAACGCAAAAATCTTCGTGCGCTGGTAAAATTTTAATTGAAAAACTTACGTGCTCTAACCAGACGTTAGTGGTGAGAATTTGGTCTTTCAGGTTCTAGAAAAAATTAACAAACCAATGAAATTCTTGGGAAACATGGATTTTGCTGAGGACTTACCAGCTCGATAAGCTGCGACAACCTTAAACCTAATTTAACAAGAATATTCGTCGAATGATTCCGAACTGGTCTAATTAGTCGGTTGTAGTTGCTCAACAAGTCATCATACAGGCGCTTAGCATCGGGATTAGCTGAAGCGGTTTTAATGAAAGTTCCTGTTAAAATCACCAACATTAACAATGAACACCGCAAAAAAGACCGAGTGGATAGTTTTCCTGCTCGTTGGCCCATTTTGCGCAAAACTGCTCTAAAACACTTGCACATTTTCACGGTTTCAGGGGAGAAAATTCAGTAAACGCCACCGAACACTGTCCGTCGATCATAATTTAGCAGATTTAGCCGGATTTTTGGCATTATTAAATTTTTTCTAACTATCAGGTGTGGCTGTTTGCCAAGTTAGCACAATAATCCTGCTGAACAGTTGCTGATCCTGCTGCATAGAGCAAAGTGGAGAAAATCGATAGATCCAGGAAAGGATGCTGCGCAGCAAGCGATTGCAGGCAAGAAAAGCAATTTTCCTGTTCCAGTGCAGCAGTTTTTTAAACCACGTTTTTTAGACAAACTTTAAATTTTGCATAACATCACAGAAAAAAGTGGAAGTTCGTGGAAGTTAATTTGGGAAACGCTCGGCAATAGTTTGTTTGCCGATTTTCAGTTCAAAAAATCTTCTATTTTCGGCTTTGACGCTAATTTTTCAATAAAAGGGCGATTAGAGCTTCAAGTTGAAAATTCTGACAATTAATTGTTGCTAGTCAAAAATAAGCCGACTTTCAAGAAAAATTACATGAAGAATTTTCAAAGAAACTTTAACTGAATGTTTTTTTTTCAAAGTTGTAAGTTCTTTTTCGATTTTAAGCTCATAAAATTTGCTACCATTTTGTTGATTTTTGGCTTTGAAGCAAATTTTTCTAAAAAAGGCGATTATAGCTTTCAGTTGAAAGCTCGTATAAAAAGGTGCTGTTAGTCAAAACTAGGCCAAAAAAGCCTATTTTCAAGGAAAATTGCATGGAGAAGCTTACGATTTAAAAATCAAATTAAACAAACATGCAACTGAATGTTTTTTTTCAAAGTTGCAAGATTTCTTTTCCGATTTTGAGATCGAAAAACCTGCTACCATTTTTTGTGCTTTCGGCAAATTTTTCGCAGAAAGGACGATTAGAACTTTGAGTTGAAGACTCAGATCATGACTTAGTTTCAAGGAAAATTCGATTGAGAAACTTATGACTTCGAAAACCAGATTAAACGAAAATTCAACAGAATGTTTGTTTTCAAACTTGTAAATTTTCTTTGCTGATTTTCAGCTCAAAAATGTTGCTACCACTTGTTGGGCTTTAATGCCAACTTTCAAAAAAATACCAATTAGAGCTTTGGGTGGAATGGTTAACCTCCTGATGAGGGTAAAAGCGTTTGAGTTCTGAATGTGAAACTCCAGTGAAATAAACGAAATTCAGTGCTGCAGTTAAAAGTGGTTGTTCTACATAAACTGAAGAAATCTTTAAAATAAACCATTTTTTGGGCTTCAGTATTAGGAATTCCTATTGCAAGACTTCCTCAAACACCCCCAAGACTTAAAATTTGGGAGCATTGGAGCATACACTATGAGTCGAAATTGGCAGAAGAAAAACATAAATATTTTTAGCTGCGAAAGTATCAATTTGGAACATAACAGCGCGCAGTATTGTGAGAATCCTGTGTGTGCGAGTGAGAGAACCGCTGCCAGATGCGTTCCTGAATGTACATTTCAGTTTCGTTTAATCCATGGCAACATACAAAAAACTCACCAGCATCAAATATAGTTTATCTTTAACCATTAAAACTTATGAGTTGATTTGAAAAGTTCACATGCAGATGGCCTTTGGAATGGGATTTTTGGAATACAAGTGAAAAATTGGTGTTAAAACTAAAAAAACACCATTTCAGCAAAATTTAGGAAAACGTTATTGTGGCCACTATTGAATACTTTCATAAACAAAAACTTCCGGTCGAGCTTGAACTTTTTAGGCCCGCAAGTGAAAATCTGCAATAGAAACTCAAAGTACTGAAACTAAAAAAGCTCGGAAACCAAATTAAACAAAAATTCAACAGAATGTTTTTTGATATATGAGTAGAAAGCTTTAACCTCCTGATAAGGGTGAAAGCCTTTGAGCTCTGAACGTAAAACTCCAATGAGATAAACGAAATTCAGTGCTGCAGTTAAAAGTGGCTGTTCTGCATAAACTGAAGAAATCTTTAAAATAAACCATTTTTTGCGCTTCAGTTTTAGGAATTCTTATTGCATAAAACCCCCAAGAAATAAAAGTTGGGATCATTGGCACTTTAAATAAAACTTGAGTTCTTTAGCATAAAAAAATACAAATATATTTTAGACCTAACTAAACCGAACTAAAATCGACCATATCTTTAAACTGAATGATCGCTAAAAATATACACTATGAGTCGAAATTGGCAGAAGAAAAACATAAATATTTTTAGCTGCGAAAGTATCAATTTGGAACATAACAGCGCGCAGTATTCTGAGAATCCTGTGTGTGCGAGTGAGAGAACCGCTGCCAGATGCGTTCCTGAATGTACATTTCAGTTTCGTTTAATCTCTGGCAACATACAAAAAACTCACCAGCATCAAATATAGTTGATCTTTAACCATTAAAACTTATGAGTTGAATTGAAAAGTTCACATGCAGATGGAGTACGGAATGGGATTTTTGGAATACAAGCGAAAAATTGGTGTTAAAACTAAAAAAAAAAAACATTTCAGCAAAATGTAGGAAAACATTATTGTGGCCACTATTGAATACTTTCATAAACAAAAACTTCCGGTCGAGCTTAAACTTTTTAGGCCCGCAAGTGAAAATCTGCAATATAAACTCAAAGTACTGAAACTAAAAAAGATCGGAAACCAAATTAAACAAAAATTCAACAGAATGTTTTTCCTCAAACTTGTAAATTTTTTTTGCCGATTTTGAGATAAAAAATGTTGATGCAAACTGTTCAAAAAAATACCAATATGAGTAGAAAGCGTTAACCTCCTGATAAGGGTGAAAGCCTTTGAGCTCTGAACGTGAAACTCCAATGAGATAAACGAAACTCAGTGCTGCAGTTAAAAGTGGTTGTTCTACATAAACTGAAGAAATCTTTAAAATAAACCATTTTTTGCGCTTCAGTATTAGGAATTCCTATTGCAAGAATTCCTAAAACACTCCCAAGACTTAAAATTTGGGAGCATTGGCAGTTTAAATAAAACTTGAGTTCTTTAGCATAAAAAAATACAAATATATTTTAGACCCAACTAAACCGAACTAAAATCGACCATATCTTTAAACTGAATGATCACTAAAAATATACACTATGAGTCGAAATTGGCAGAAGAAGAACATACATATTTTTAGCTGCGAAAGTATCAATTTGGAACATAACAGCGCGCAGTATTGTGATAATCCTGTGTGTGCGAGTGAGAGAACCGCTGCCAGATGCGTTCCTGAATGTACATTTCAGTTTCGTTTAATCCATGGCAAAACATACAAAAAACTCACCAGCATCAAATATAGTTTATCTTTAACCATTAAAACTTATGAGTTGAATTGAAAAGTTCACATGCAGATGGAGTTCGGAATAGGATTTTTGGAAAACAAGTGAAAAATTGGTGTTAAAACTAAAAAAAAAAACATTTGAGCAAAATTTAGGAAAACATTATTGTGGCCACTATTGAATACTTTCATAAATAAAAACTTCTGGTCGAGCTTGAACTTTTTAGGCCCGCAAGTGAAAATCTGCAATATAAACTCAAAGTACTGAAACTAAAAAAGCTCGTAAACCAAATTAAACAAAAATTCAACAGAACGTTTTTTGATATATGAGTAGAAAGCTTTAACCTCCTGATAAGGGTGAAAGCCTTTGAGCTCTGAACGTAAAACTCCAATGAGATAAACGAAATTCAGTGGTGCAGTTGAAAGTGGTTGTTCTGCATAAACTGAAGAAATCTTTAAAATAAACTATTTTTTGCGCTTCAGTTTTAGAAATTCTTATTCTGACATAAAATTTGGGAGCATTGGCAGTTTAAATAAAACTCGAGTGCTTTAGCATAAAAAAATACAAATATATTTGAGACAGCAGAACATACAAAATGTACAACTCAGCGACAGTTTGGGGCAAAACTCTTGCTCCAGTTCAGCCGCCAAAAACACGCAGATCAAACATCCAACTCAAACTCCATTCTTCTCAGGCTTATTTGAAATGTTGTCGCCTTTCAGCATCAGCTGAATCTGCTCCAGACTTTTCCCTTTAGTTTCGGGGATGCAAAATCCCGAATACAGAGCAACCAAAAAGGCGCTGACCGTGAACAGGTAAAAGGGCACAAACATGCCCAGTTTATGCAGCACTTGGTAGAGCTGGATCGACAATATGCCGCCCATAACGAACATTACATCGGCCACAGTCATTCCGATGGCTTTCATTTTAGCAGGGAAAATTTCTGCGGTTATCACAATGGGAACTAGTCCCAGGCCGTATTTGAAGGCTCCAGCATAGACCAGGACTGAAGCGATTGGGACCCAGGAAACTGCGGAAACATCAAAGCCGATCGCCTGCAAATGGAAGTAGACTGATAGGGCGAGCAAACAGAACCCGCTCAGTAGACTGGAGACGACGAGGATGATTTTCCTGCCGAACTTATCGATGGTACAAGACGCAAAAATTGAGGCCAACAGCATGATAATGGCAAATACTATCGCTGTAATGTTGTTGTCTAAGTAGATGGAACCAGCCGCATTAAGGATGGGGTGTAGATTCATGTACATCACGCTGATACATGAAAGATGTTGACCTGAAGATTGATGAAAAGTGTTACTTAAAATAAAGAATGTGGTTTAAAGCTGTAGTTACCAGCATTCAAAACAGTCATAATTAGGATAGCTTTTCGGTTGCTGGGAACTAGAAGTAGATCCTGGGGACGGCCCTGTTCAGTCTTTTGCCTTTCTATTCCGTTGGAAATGCTGTCTATTTCCAGGTCCAGATCGGCGTCTTTATTTCTCAGTCTTTTCAATGATTCTTTCGCTTCTAAAGGTCTAAA